AGAATTCTGTGTAACGCATCTGTGTTAGAATAAAGCCTTGTAATGGGAGGAATTGCACATTTTATTAACAAACAGTATGGGAAAAATCACAATTGCTTTTAAGATCATACCTCCTTAGGAGAACTGTAATTGGGAAAGCCTTGAAGTCTTATTATTTGACTAGTTTAGAACCTTGTGTGAATCACTACACTAGCCGTCATTTGGGCTTTAATGTGCATTTTATACTTTATACACCACTCCTTTTACAGCTTATCCTGCAGCTAATACGGTAACTAAAAATTGCAGTAGTGAAGCTTGCACTGCACTTCACATTCTACTCTTTGATCTTGACTTCCATTCCCTTTATTAGCCACAGATTTCACATGCTCCCCAAAATACTATGCAGCAAGAAAAATATAAATAATGGGACATACAATGTGAACCAATAGCAAGAAAATTCAATCTACCATATATATACTTGATAGCCATTAAAAAAAAAAAACTGAGACAGAGAAAAATGAAGTTTGAGTATTCTGTGAAGGCTGATGTGTTATCAAGAGTCTGCTGATATTTATTGCCACCATTATATCTTACCACCTATATTCAATTAGCAAATGGGTTAACATGCTCAGGCTATTGCTTCTAAAGTACAGTGGAAACATGCCAGTCATTAAGGTTTAGATTTCTTACCACATTTGTTTCCAATAGTGTTTCCACTACAAAGTTGTATACATATACAGTAAATAAGTTATGCATACAGTCATAAAAATGTTTCTGTTTAGAATTCACAAAACAATACTCAGAAAATGCTTGGGTGAGTAATCATGAAATTCACATCCTTGCTTTCCACATTAAGGGTAGAACCTTATGTGGTTTAACCAAAAAATAAGTTATACAATTCCCAAGATTCCTCAGGCAGCACAGCTAGCTAGGAAAACCTAAAAGCTTCAGGACTGTTTAGACCTGCATAGGATTGTGCCCTGTGTTAAGTTTCATATACTAGCTGGATGGCTATAACCCCCATTCTTTACACACCTGAACTAAAACCTGAAGATGTGCTAGGTAGCTCCACTTGTCCTCCTTTTACTATCACTGACCTCACCTCTCTATTCTGCCCTCCTCTTTCCTTTCTGCTCTCCTCCCTATGGACATTGCATTGGAAGCTCCTCAGGGCAGGAGTCTGTCTTTTGCTTATGCTGTTCTGCACATTTTCATGTATACTAATAACACTACTGTAAATAAGAAGACAGAGTTGAAGGATGCTGCCTGCTCAATTGCATTTTTACAGCAGAACTTCATCACATCCATCCATTAAAGAGCAAGTTGCAAAGATACGGAGAATGAAAAGTGCATGCCAGATCAAACAGTCTTACTGTATTAAGGGAATCGATAAACCAAGAATTCCCCTGTAATCCATTTGGTTGTATTCCAGTTGTTGCAAAGCATGAGCATTATCACTAAAAACTACCCTCTCACTGCCTCACCATTCTTTGGAATTAAACACATTTAAGCTATAAACAATGCCATTCACCAAGCTACAAGACTAAACAAGCACAGCACATTGTTCCTTCTTTCTTTGTCAGAAAGAACTTGGAGGTGTCAACTATATAACCCGCTCAGAAAACCGGCTCCTTAGCAATTTTAACTATACCAAACCTCTAAGAGTAAGATTTGATTTAAGGAAAACATGAATAGTGTAAAAGTATTTCCTGTTCCATAAAATAACACCTAGGAGAAGCCTTCAAAAACATACTAGAGAATGTCAGGAAATGACCGTCAGGTGCTTTTATATGTGCTTCAGAAGTACTGCTGCCACTTCAGGTCATTTCCTAAGGTGCAAGGAAAAAGGAATCTAATCTGCATTCTCTACAGCATATGTGCAAATAAATAATAAATACAGGAGGCACAACTGAGCATACATCTACCTGAATTCTGTTTTCAGTGTGCGTACATTATTTTCATACTGTTCTATATGCCAGTAGGTCTACAAAATGATGTATTGCCAGCATTCTTACTTCAAGCAGATTTTTTTCCTCCACTAACACAGTATTTTCTCTAATATTGCTGGGATATAAAGGTATTTACTTCATCAAAGATGGTGTGATGCAGATATCATTACAGGATCTGATTAGATCATGGTATTCTAATAGAGATCAAATAGTAGTTTTCCTTCCTTTTTTCAGTGCTTTTAAATTATCCCCTTTCACTGTGCTATCAAAGAATGTTAATTTTAATGGTTTGATCTAGGGATTCGACGCAAGTGTATAGTTATTAAGAAAGAAAGAAAGAAAGAAAGAAAGAAAGAAAGAAAGAAAGAAAGGTTTTTAAGCAACATAACACCTTTTTTTTTGGGTGCAGATTTCCCTGTAACAATGACCCAAAAGATCTACTTTAGATTTGGAAAACTAGCTTTGAAGGAAAGCTAGACAACAAAAAGCAAGGAAGTACTCACCTCTTCACGTAATTTTATCAACTGCAACATGAACGCACAAAAAAAGATAAAAAGGAAAGAAATGGCAGG